GACTGTGCGGCACCTTCCGCTCAGGCTTGGCATTTTTTATACTTGGAATCAACGTACATAGGGAGCATGTTAATCAGCATCTTGTTGACACGCTCAGTCAGGCAAGTGGTCGGTGGATGGTACTCAGTGGCGTTATGAAACTGGGAAGCAGACCGGCGAAGCAACTCTTCCGCGACGTTGGCTACAAACTTCTGGCCATGGTCGCTGATGGCACGAGGGGATCCATGCCAAAGGCTGATGTAGCGTAGTAGGAAGACAGAAACATGATCGGCTGCGGTTTCAGCATACCGAGTGAGACATTCAACACAGACTATAATCCAGCGGTTCTCAGTGCTCGATCGTGGAAAAGGGTCCATCAAGTCAATATCGACGACCTCAAAGGGAACACGTCGAGGCCATATAGGATGGAGAAATTCTTGCGGCGCACTTGTTGGCCTTTTGTACCGTAAACAATGCTCACAACTGGCTACGTATTTAGCTGTAGCCTGACACATGCGGGACCAGTAGAAACATTTCGGTGTGCTGTGATAGGTCTTGGCAAGCCCCATATGCCCAGATGTTGGATCGTCATGCATAGCTTGCGGCATGTTGAGTCCCAAACATTTGGGGACAACCAAAAGTAAGTGGGCCCCCTTTGCAGCAAAAATTTCGCTTGTAAAGAATGTCATCCTGCATGACGAATAGGGACTGATGTGGCTTATTGACGGCAGATGAGAAAAAAGGAGCCAGACTACGGTCTTGATGTTGTGCTGTACGGAACGTTTGCAAATCTTGAAACCGTGAGTCAAGAGCGGCTTGACAGTCGTCTAAATTGTCGGCGTCGTATTCAGTCATGGGAAGGGGAAGTCGCGATAGGCAGTCAGCGTCCGCGTGAAGGGGGCCACTCTTGAAGCACACATCAGTCATATTCTTGCAAACGGAGCGCCCATCATGCAACTCGACCGGTTGGATCTCGTAGACCAGTGAGCCAGCAAAGTGAGTGGTCGTCTGTGACGATGGAGAATCTGCAGCCATAGATGTACGGGCGAAACTTGTGTACGGTGAAGATAGCTGCCGGACATTCTTGCTCTGTAACAGTGTAATTGCGCTCAGCTTTACTCAAAGAACGACTCGCATGGGCAATTACATGTTTGCCGGCTCCGTGATGCTGAACTAATCTGCGCCAATACCGATTACACTGGCATCACTGTGCACTTCAGTTGGGGCTCATGCATTGAAATGATGAAGAATAGGCCCAGAAGTGAGTAGAAGCTTCAGCTGAGGAAATGATGACTCTCACTCATTCGTCCACTTGAAGGCTGCATCATTGTTGAGAAGATCAGTAAGAGACTCAGCAAGATCGGCGAAGCTAGGAACAAAACGCCAGAAGTACGAACACAGGTCTAGGAAACTTCGAAGTTCTCATAGCGAGCGTGGTTGAGGGAAAGTCCTGACAGCGGTGATTTTGTGGGGATCAGGCCGAACCCCGTGTTTGTCTATGAGATAGCCAAGAATTAGAGTTTCACGATCACTAAAATGGCACTTTTTAGAATTCAAAGTAAGGGCTGCTTTCTCAAGGCACGTGAGAACAACACCAAGTCAACGATTGTGTTCTTCAAACGTGCGGCCAAAAATTACGTCATCAAGATAGTTAAAACGAATACCCAGTTTAAGCCACGAAGAACTGTGTCTATAAAGTGCTCACACGTGGCTGGAGCATTACATAGACCAAACAGCAGGATGTTAAATTCAAATAAACCATCTGTAGTTATAAACGCTGTTTTTTCCTTTATCGGCAGAGTGCATGGGTATTCGCCATTATCCAAATCTTAAGTCTACAAAATAAATGTATGTAGAACAGTGCAAGCAATCGATAACGTCGTCGATGCAGGGATACGGATGTACATTTTTTTTTTTGTGACAGAGTTGAGCCCCCAGTAATCTACACACTATCTTCAGGAACCATCCATCTTCTTTACAAGTATAACCAGTGCTGCCCAGGGGCGAAACTCCTGCATAGCTCTCTTGGACAGCATTTCTTCCACCTGGACAGCATTTCTTCCACCTGACCCGCTCAGCGATAACTTTACGCTCAGACGTTGATAATCTGTATGGTCTCTGGCGAATGGGGTGGGCGGAACGAGTATCAATCGCACGACGAGTCTGTGAAGGTGGTGCAGAAATTCTGTGACTGTTCAGTGCGAAATCAAAAACGGATGCATGGTTGGAGAGGTTTCGAACTAACATTTTTCCCTTCTCTGGCGATAGCGACTTATTTACCATACCCATGAGTATGTTATTACTAGGACAAGCCGCATCAGATCCATTTGCTTTTTTCCTCTCGTTGCTAATGACAGCAATGTTAGTATATCTCCTGGGGTTGAGTTCAAACACAGCCAGCTTACTTCTGCTACAGTTCCTAATGCTGACAAGCTCTTCGGGAGCCCTAGACATATTAGTAGGCAGCTGTTGCCTGCAGCTTCCAGAATTCTCTTATTTGCTGGGGATAATCAGCGAAGCACCTTCAGTATATGATTTCTACATAGCGATCGTGTTCCAGTCACGAATTTGAAGAGTTGAGTTGCTGCTACTATTCTAGTTCAATGTTTCTTCACCTGTGGAGACCAGGAAAGATTTCAGTCGATGACGATTCTCACAAATCTTTGAGACATTTATAGGTCAGCGGCCGTCCACTTAACATTTTTCCTAAACTAACATTTTTCCCTTCTCTGGCGATAGCATACATATGGCGATACTGCTACTATTCTAGTTCAATGTTTCTTCACCTGTGAAGACCAGGAAAGATTTCAGTCGATGACGATTCTCACAAATCTTTGAGACATTCATAGGTCAGCGGCCGTCCACCTAACATTTTTCCTAAACTAACATTTTTCCCTTCTCTGGCGATAGCGACTTATTTACTATACCCATGAGTATGTTATCACTAGGACAAGCCACATCAGATCCATTTGCTTTTTTCCTCTCGTCGCTAATGACAGCAATGTTAACATATCTCCTGGGGTTGAGTTCAAACACAGACATCTTACTTCTGCTACAGTTCCTAATGCTGACAAGCTCTTCGGAAGCCCTAGACATATTAGTAGGCAGCTGTTGCGTGTGGCTTCCAGAATTCTCTTATTTGCTGGGGATAATCAGCAAAGCATCTTCAGTATACGATTTCTACATACCGATCGTGTTCCAGTCACGAATTTGAAGAGTTGAGTTGCTGCTACTATTCTAGTTCAATGTTTCTTCACCTGTGGAGACCAGGAAAGATTTCAGTCGATGACGATTCTCACAAATCTTTGAGACATTTATAGGTCAGCGGCCGTCCACTTAACATTTTTCCTAAACTAACATTTTTCCCTTCTCTGGCGATAGCATACATATGGCGATACTGCTACTATTCTAGTTTAATGTTTCTTCACCTGTGGAGACCAGGAAAGATTTCAGTCGATGACGATTCCCACAAATCTTTGAGACATTCATAGGTCAGCGGCCGTCCACCTAACATTTTTCCTAAATTAACATTTTTCCCTTCTCTGGCGATAGCGACTTATTTACCATACCCATGAGTATGTTATTACTAGGACAAGCCGCATCAGATCCATTTGCTTTTTTCCTCTCGTTGCTAATGACAGCAATGTTAATATATCTCCTGGGGTTGAGTTCAAACACAGACATCTTACTTCTGCTACAGTTCCTAATGCTGACAAGCTCTTCGGAAGCCCTAGACATATTAGTAGGCAGCTGTTGCGTGTGGCTTCCAGAATTCTCTTATTTGCTGGGGATAATCAGCAAAGCATCTTCAGTATATGATTTCTACATACCGATCGTGTTCCAGTCACGAATTTGAAGAGTTGAGTTGCTGCTACTATTCTAGTTCAATGTTTCTTCACCTGTGGAGACCAGGAAAGATTTCAGTCGATGACGATTCCCACAAATCTTTGAGACATTCATAGGTCAGCGGCCGTCCACCGAGGAGGAGTGGATACTAGCTCATTTTTTTCTCTCGTGAAAGCAGTGGCTGTACTCTTTCCTAAAGAAAGTGGCATGCCTCAGGGCGCTAAATACGTGGAGAGATATTCTGTAAAGGTTTTTGAAGTCGCTGTTTGGTTATGTAAAGTCAACTTGAAGCACTCCAGATACAGATGTCAGTAACGTAAATCGTGATTTGTACTCCTCGAAGCATTTTTTTTATTATGCGTATCAGGGTAGTGATAAAAAGGAGTGGGCTGAGCATGGCACCAAGGGTACACCCTTCTCTACTGCAAGTTCACGATGTATTCATTTGTGATGCTACGTTTCCGCATCGATCCCACATTATGACAAAATCTTTTTGGGTCCCATGCATTAAAAAGCTTGCACCTGTTTTGCTGTCTGCATGTAAATAATGCCATACCAACCGGTCCGTCACTCTGGTGAACTAATTGTAATGCTGAAGCAATGTTGGGGACTGGGCAGTCTGGTCTGTATTGCATTTAATGCCACGCAAGCAAAACATAAATATATAATGCCTGTCTTGTAAAAGTGCTCTTTTGATTGTGCTACAATATAATGTGGACCATGCAGGTTCTTTTACCTCGGACAAAAAGGGCAGTGTGGATAGCCATGTGTTGAATTGTTTAGAACGTGTTGGAACCATTGTAGTGAAAATAGAGATAGGCACAAAAGTGAACCATGGGCATTATTTCTGCTTTCATTGTCAAAGTAAACCTGCCGAGAGAAAGGAGAGAAAAAAAAAGATGTTTCAGCTCTGATAGGGTAGCTGAGGCATTTTTTTTTTTGGCACATTTCTGGCTGGTGTCAATTTCTTTACCTTTGACTATGAGCAATATCGACAAGATGTGATTTTGTCCTACATTTGACTTCTTGCATTCTTTGTGTCCGTTTTATGTATGGTAAGGTGAATTCTCCAATATCGGCTATCCGACCCACTAAATAGTCCAATAGAGATAGCTGTTTAAAAATGTGGTTTGTATATTGCAATGCTCTCATTTTGGTGCATCATTGGCAGCTCTGCAGGCAGCATGTGAGCCTCAGTACAAGTTTAGTGGATGACAAGACAGAGGAACATTAGGCAGTAGCCCTCTATGCACGCGGCTTTGTCACTGGATACAGACGACTTCGAGGGTGTCCACAGCACCAGCAGCAGAACGCCCCTCCTACGAACCAGAGCTCAGAGTGATCAGGTAAGGACATTGGACCAGCATTTTAGGTATTCAGAATGTTGGACCACAACTGGATTGAAAACTCACAGCAAGAAGAAAAAACAGATATTTCTCTTGACATCTCTCTGTGAGTTCATGTTTGTATGGCTTTTCCTTTCAACATGTGACCGATCTATTATATATGTAACAATCTTGCCCTTCTGCAGGCTCAGCCGGAATGCCCGACGGCCTTTTAGACTCTTCTAAGTTAGATTACATCCACAACATGAAGACAGGACTTCATTTCTGGAGCTAATGCGGCCACCAGCTATAACGCTTGAGTCTTTGATGGCACATGTATAAATGCTGACATGCTTTATCACTTATTAGATTGTCCAACAAATAATGGCTACAATGTGCCATTACCATTTCATTTGGAGTTTTATTTTTACTGGCTGTTATTGCTTTTCTCACTGTCAGAAGCACGTGACTATATTTTCTAAGTGAGTGTGTGAGGCGCTATAAGTGGCTATATTTGTTAGAGTCTAAGTTAGAGCTGCCCGGTCCATCAGAACGGCATATAGAGAATTCGTTTCACTCAATTTGTGTTTGCTTCTCCACAAGTTAAACAAATATTTGGGGGGAACATTGCAGGTCATTTGTAACAAATATGGCATAAATACTTTTATTTTTAGCCTAAAAATATTTGCCTTGTATGGTACGCAGAAAAGAAAAAATTTCAACTGTTATTTGAAAAACGAGCGTGTACCTTAGCCAGGCATTTGAGAAGATAAGTCCCTTTTTAAGAAGTAATGCCTCCTATTTCAATTATTGGGAATCACCGACTCACCCAATCAGCTATTTTGATAAGAATGGTTGTTTTGTTATTGCAGAATAATCCCTTGATCTTGCAAACATGCACTGGTTCAAACCAGCCCCGAATCTGCATTCTTTTTTTGTTTTTTTGCTAGACCATACCTTTTTCTTTTTGCCTTACTGGAACAAAAATAAGTAGCAAGCATTGTGGATTAGATTCTACAACTAGTTTTTTTTTTTAACGCTGATTGCAGCAGATCGTTTAAATGTGCTGTCCTAGAAGTTGCCGGCTACGTAGCATCAGTGTGCAAAGTTGATGACAGTATGCTTCAAGTAACTTTGCAGAAACTAACTGAAAAAGGCAATTGTTCTGTTTTCCTTTTTGCACTGTTTGCAGTCAATTCATTGAAGCATGTGGCCAATGCCTTTAGGAAGTTGTTCTTCGATTATCGATATTATGTTACAGCATGCTGTGATAATTTGAGACTCCTTCACAAGAATAAACATAGGAAATTTTGAAAGGATACAGACAAAGGTGCTAAGATTCGTTTATACGTAACTAATGTGGATGCAGCTCTATACACAAGTTGATTAAAAAAAAAAGGTATTTTGCCACCATTTGCTGAAAGAAACCGTGTTTGCGGACTGAAGGTCTTCTATCTGCTGGTAAAAAGGCGATTACAAAACCTACATATCGCATATGTTGATTTTATCTACAGTGTACACGACTAGAATCTGACATTCGCAAACAATTATGCTTTTGATGCAAAGAGTCCATTTCTTCTGAGAAAAACTTTTCCAGATGGTTAAATTTTTTATTGCATTTTTTAAATGTACAAATTGTGTAAAGTCAGGGAAACATTATTAAAAAGGAACAGTTTTTGGCGTCAGTATGACAGAGAATGGCAAGACATTTACTACTATTAGTGAGAACAGAAAATGGTGTTTGCTAAGGTACGTTGCCGGGCTAGTTGGTTGAGATTCATCATTTTCACTGGTATAGCGCACCACGACAAGGACACACACAAAGGAGAGATGCACACACACACAGCGCTATGTGTGTGTGCATCTCTCCTTTGTGTGCTATGTGTGTGTGCATCTCTCCTTTGTGTGTGTCCTTGTCGTGGTGCGCTATACCAGTGAAAATGAAGAAAATGGTGCCAAGGAAAAAAAAATAGAGATGTTTTAATAATCATGATATAAGTGAAAAGAGAGTAAAGCAGACAAAAAGGTAACCTTCTGCAGCCTTGGAATAGCATTTCAGAGCATGGTGGTTCTTGAAACACTGGTATAGGTCGTCGTCTGCGCAAATAACACGCATCTCCGTTCTCTTCTGTGAGCAACAAGTTGTGCTGGCGGACATTTCTGCATTGGTCAAAGTTGGTAATATCAAAAAGAATGAGAATGCTTCATGAGTGTTGGCGATAAACAAGCAGCATAAAAATGGAAACAAAGAAACTTCTACTGTACGTGCTAGAGTGTGCCGATGAAGGTAAGAATCTAGTTTCGCACGCCTGTGTTGTTATCATGCGGTGAAACTGAGACCACAAATAAGAGTTGCTTAGCAGCTGTTTTGCAGACCATGCTAGAAATCAGTTCTATATCTCTGAAAGAAGGTGTCATAGTCATTTTCAATGCATCTTGTATATTCTAAAGGTGGCAGCACCTCCTACGAAACGTGCATCGTCATTATGGTGCGAAATTTCAGGCGAAGGGTTGAAAATGTACCCGTACTGCAAAGATACTGTGGGACAGAAAACCTTTCCTGTACAAGTAACTGAAAAACACTCAAAGTGTCGAATAGTCTTTCTTTCCTTGTACAATAAACAATTGGAATAACCTGTGTGTTGAAGCTGTAACCAAGAAAATATCTTTGGTGTCTTTTGAAGTGTTCTCTAACCTGTTCTGACTGTCTTGTTATCTTGCCCAAACGTATCATTTTCATGTTTGCGTACTACACAAAGTTAGACGGCAGTATTTATGAATAAACAAGTGCACACCTTCAGTTAGATGAGGTTCCATCTTGAGTGCAATGTTTCAGACCAGCTGCTTTATGGACATGGCCGAGCAGCAGCCCAACATAGCAATGGCCAACAAGAAGGCCCCCCCAAACGTGCGGCGTGTGGACTGGCTGCACTTTGTGCGCACGCTGCACCTGGAGCTCTTCCTATTTGTGTATGCCGTTTCGTACTCCATGCGGCTCGTAATGACCCAGGACCTGCTGCTCACCAAGGCCTGCTGGCAGCGGCATGCCATCAATGCCAGTGCATGTCGCAACCTCTCCTGGAATGTTACCATCAAGGACGACGTCACAAGGTGCATTTCCTGTTAAAGTCTAGCAAGTTTCACTGTATATCTTCGCATGGCCTTGAAGTGAAGAATGGATACCCCATGGCAAGCTGCATGAAATTTAGGTTACGCCTGTGCACAAGTGAACATGTTCATTGGCTCGACTTCTCCTCATACCTTTCCTCTGAGTCGTGCATCTGCTTGCACATGTGAGTGCAAGTGTCTGCACACAGGGCCTCGCGTTTATCCTGTTGACTTCGAAAACTGACAAAATGGTAGTAGTAAGTGCATGCAGTATAGGCTAGTCATATCATTTGGTTGGCAAACTCTACTTGGGCTGGGAGAGTAAACAAGCATAACTGAGTAAACAAGCTTTTGCTTAGCACGGTTGATAGTTGGGCGAGGTGGTCCAAATTAATTTCTTGAGAATGCACTGAAAGTCTGTCTCAAAAGAGAGGCAAAAAACACTGAGTGTATGCTAGTAATATTTTATTCATAATGCATATTTCTAGAATGCAATCTCAGTAGTCCCCATAATGACCATTGTAGTCCCCATAAGGCCCTGCTCATCATCATTGACTCCGTAGATATGCTGTGATTTCTTTCCTCTTCGGCGGCGCCCCAGCCACGTGCTCTCTCCCCACCCTTAAATTTTTTGTTTTTGCTTCAGTAGCCTTCACTGGCTCGGTCACATATTCAAAAAGACACTTCTTAAAGTTGGGATGCGTATTGACGCTGACACAATGCTTTTGTGCACTGCCACCTTTTGTATACCAGCTTGCGCGCTGTGTAGCCTCACACTCATGGATGGATGGAAGCAAGAACGAACGAACGGACGGAAGTGCGGATGGTCTCTTCGCCCCACACATCATCATTCACTATGTGGATATTCTGCGATTTTTTTCATGCTCCTTTAAGACAGGTGGTTCCTTTCTGTTTGAGCATTCGACGGAAGTTCTAACACGCTGGGGATGTTATCTTATGCCCCTTCCAATTGATGGGGAGATGAGCCAGCTCATTTGATCTGAGCTTCAGCTGGGCTCGGGCACTTTTACCTGCTCGAGATAGTTACGGTACGCAGGGGCATGTTATCAATTTAGACTTGTTACAGAACATGGTGGCGACAGCGAAAACCCGCCGAGAGTGTCCATATAATTGCTAACGCAATAGTAAAGCAGTTTTTTACCGCTAAATAGATGTTTTAGAAGAAGATGTAGTAATAAACGTATGCAGGCGAGCACTGCCAGAAAAAGAAGAGGAAGTTGAAACCGTGAACAGCATTCGGTCTGGTTTCTTTGCTGATTGATAGTTTTCCTTTGCAGGTGTTTTGGGTTAGCTCTGCCTGCTGTCCCCCTTTGGTTTGATTTGTGCGTTTATTTTTTGAACTTTGTTCTGACCCTCCATATAACAAAATCTTCTTCGCAAAGAATTTTTTCGGCAATGTATTCATGTTTAACTGTGTACCTCTTTTTATGTTCAACAGAAATTCATACGCCAAGAGAAGGGGAGGTGTCGATACTCATTTCGATGAGTGAATAATGACTTTTTAAGGTCAAGTTATTGCTCGCATTCTAAATCTGTCACGAATTATGTGAGCAGTTGGTGGAATAATTGAGATAATCAGACCACTTAGAGTGGTTTCCGCCAGAGCATCCATCACTTCATTCGTTTTATCCCTTTGCAACTCGGTACACTCACATTAATCTGATTAAAGTTACGTGGGTAGGGAACAGAAATTGAAAAAGTTTGTAATAATTTAGAATAATTATAATACTATCTGGGGGTTTTACGTCCCAAAGCCCTGTGATTCGCTATTTTAGCGAGTGTCGAACACACAGATAAAGTATCTGTGACTGTGGCCACACTTGAGTTTGATTGGCTCAGCTTTCCTAATGCTATTCCGCCAAAGATACTGGTAAGAAATTTGGAAGTGTTAATCAGAATAAACAATTGAAAGTTTTAGAAAAAAATACCGAATTTTCCTTCAGAATTTGAGACATCTGTAGCTATGATATTTGTTATATTTATCCACTCTAAATGCTTCTGCAGAAACTAGTGTAATATATGGTAAGGCGAAATTTCTGCATGGTTTGGATATATATCCTGAAAAACATTCCTAAAGTTCTGTCTTTCGTTGCTGATGAAAGGAACTTCACTCACTTTAACATGTAATGCTTCAGCAAGTGATTCTTCATAGTCCACCCACGCTGTATGAAACCGTGGTCAATAAGATGCAAAAAACAACTCTGGTGGACATACACTTGAAGGTAATTTGGATTTTTAGAGAATTCTTATAGATCATTAGGAGTGATTGTACAGTTATTATCCCAGATCTGCACGAAAGAGAAGACGATCTCGCTTCTTAGTAGAGGACATTATTGGCTCTAAATTTTGGTATTCCTAGGAATAAGTTTAGGGCCTCCTTTTGCAGGAGTAGAAGAAGACGCAATTTATAACCGGGTGCACCACATCATTATATGCATCCAAATGCTCATACGGGGCTGTGTCAAAGGAAGTGGTTATCATAAAATATTCCCAGATATTTTACCAAATCTAACTGTGGCATGTTCTCCAGGCCGCTAGTTATTCTGATGGTAACTGACTTGACCAAAGGCACAACTATATTTGGGCTCTCTGAAACATTAAGACAAAGATGGATAGATTGCAACAAATTTTTATTAGCTCATTTATACAATTGTAAGTGAATATATAGCGAATGTATGTCACTGTCTGAAGCCAAAAAAATGCTATATTATCTTCATATACATATGTGTATACTTCGTCATGACTAGGAATTGTTCTAACAATACATTAATTAGAAGCGAGGGCACTGCTCCCTCAGGAACTCCTCGTAACCTGGAATTGTATATTTAAAGAGTGACACTTTATTAAAGAATAAAACTTTCTGCTCAGTTGAAAACTCCCTAAACAACCTCACCACATATTTAGAGGTATTATAAAATTTCAAATAATCTAAAATTATTCTATGTTCTACTCTGTCGTAAGCTTTTGACTGAGGAGACTATTGTGCTTTCTTTCTCTTCTTTTTTTTCGCTCGCGCGGGTAGAGAGTATGCAGTGTGCGGAAGCACAGGGACCGGAGAGCATCAACAGGCTGGCACAGGCACGCTTCATTGCAGATTTGATTACGACATAGTCTGAGGTGCTGTTGCATGGTTAATTTCAATCGCTGTGTGACTAATCTCCGAACCAAACTCGATCCGCACCGGCCCTGATTACGATCAAAAATGTTCATGCAACACCGAGAACATGGTGCGGTGTAAAAGCAAGCCTGACTGCGTGTGTAAGTTCGAGCCACAGCCGCTTCGACGGCCCCAAGCTGAAAGAAGCAGCCACATTTCGACAAGCACCAAATGAAACAATACATATTTTTATTCATTTTTATTTTTAGTAGTCTCATTCCTAGCATCCTCAAAGTTATGCTGTTTTACTTTGATGTAATGCAAGGAGCAAATGAGAATCACTGAAGTAGCGCACACACAAAAAAATTGCTTATTATACAACCACAATGTGCTGTTTGTACTCAAGCATAATGCTTGACACTCGGTGACGGTGCGCTTGGTGAACACGAAACCCTGAAAGCAGCATGCTTCTCTAATATCCCCACCGATATGGCAGCGCAGAAACTAAAAACAAACAAAAACAAACACGCTCATTTTGATACACCGAGGGTGCATCTATTTGCCCCGCTGCGGTGGTCTAGTAGCTATGGTTACTAGGCTGCTAACCCGCAAGTTGCGGGATCGAATCTTGGCTGAGACGGCTGAATTTTCGATGGAAGCGAAAATGCTGCAGGCCCGTTTGCTCAGATTTGGGTGCACGTTAAAGAACCCTAGGTAGCCGAAATTTCATGAGGCCTCCACTACAGTGTCTCTTATAATCATATGGTGGTTTTAGGACGTTAAACCTTATATATAAATCAATCAAAGCAAGGTTGCGTCTATGACACTCAGACATTTTGTGTGGAATGCTGCGAGCTGTCTGGTACGGTATGTTTAGAAAAACTATCAGTTCATTGCCAGTCATTGCCGTCGGGATAATGCCGACATACCGCGCTCTCTTATCTGCGCACTGAGGTGAAGCGACAGTCTCAAGGTGTGTGCGCCGTTTCTTTTGATTATATTTCTTTAGTGCTACACCACTGCATACATCATAGCGGCAACTTTCAATTCTTTAAAAGGGCCACTCACTAGGCCCCATAACGAAATTGTAGTTAGACTGTGAAAGTTGTGTGTGTCCGATAAGGAGCATTACACCAGAAAAATTTTTCGATCAGTTCATTACGAGCTGAGAAAACTGTTTTTTTTTTTTCTTCTAAGCGGCGCGGAATGAGGATTAGAGAAGGCGAGCTCGAAACCCATGCCGCTCCCCCGAGTAGCCTTCATAAGCCAAATCTCTTCCCTACTCTATCCAGCATTCGACCAAGAGGTCGCTTGCACACGACGTGCCCGAACTAGCCCAGCTCTCGAGCAAGAGAGTGGCGTTGTTTTGTTGACCAGTGTTATTTTGGGGTCTGCTGCCTGTGTCTGCGGGATGGTTCAAAAATGCTGGCTTAGACGCGGTAGAATAGATAAGCACAACGAGTGCGCGAACGCGTAGCAGTGTTACATTCGCTTCCACGGCTGTCCTCTGCTCGATGCGCTGAGCGCAGGGACAGGATCGCATGCGAAACGCCTGAGCATCAGCCCCGCATCTCATTTCAGTTCACGGGAATAAACTGAGGAAAAGACGCGCACATTCCCTTATTGTGTCTCATTGTTTATCTCAAGTTTTATAAATCTCTTCAAGCAGCCGATCACATAAACTACACATGTCGTGTTAAATAATTTTTGCCGTGCCACTTGCCACTGTTGGCAACATCAGAGCACAGTCGTCTATCTAGAGGACCAACGGCAATGCACTGCCAGGTACGTAGGGCAATTTATACGTGCACGTCATGCGCTCATCTTCTGGCCACGGTGCGCCAGTGAAAGGAAGGGGGAGCAGCGTTCATCTTAAAATTTGACC